GTGTGGGGCACCTGGGTGGCTCAGTAGGTTAAGCATCTGCCTTTGACTCAGGTCATAATCCCAGGGTCCTGGGATGGAGCCCTGCATCGGGCTCTCTTCTCACCATGGAATCTGCTTCTCCCTGGTCCTTTGCCTCTTCCCTGGCTTGTGTATGCATGTGCTCTCTTTCTCTCTTTCTTTCAAATAAATAAAATCTTAAAAAATAAATGAAGTTTTATAGCTTTATAATTTACATTTATATTCATGATCAATTTTGAGTTAAATTTTATTTAAAGTTTGAGACTCGGTTTGTAGCTTGTACTTTTCTGACTAAGAATATCCACAGTCTACTTCCTTTATTGTATTGCTTTGGCACTTTCGTGAAAAATCAGTTGGGCATATCTGTGGAGTCTACTTACAGTTTCTCTATTCTGCTTTATTAATCTATGTTCTTCCACCAATACCATACAGTATTGAGTATTATATCCATATACAGGTCTTAAAATCAGAGTAATTTCGCCAACTCTATTCTTTTTTTTTTTCCAAAATTGTTTTAGATAGTCTAGTTCCTTTACCTTTCCATATAGTTTTTTCCCAAACTTCTTAAGGTATATTGGCCAATAAAAATTGTATATATTTAAGGTGTATAAGATGATCATTTGATATATATTCACACACGTTTGAAAATAACTACCACAATCCAACTAATTAATGTATCCTTCATCACACTGCGTTATCTTTTCTTGTGTATGTAATGAGAATACTTAAGATCTACTTCTTGGCAAAGTTCAACTATGTAATATGTTATTAACTATAGACATGCTGTACATTAGATCTCCAGGACTTATTCATCTAATAACTGAAAGTTTGTATCCTTTGACCAGTAGTTCTCTTTTTTCCCCATCCAGTAGCCCCTGGCAACCACAATTCTACTCTTTGCTTCTAGCAGTTCAGTTTTTTTAGATTCCACATATAAGTAAGATTATAAGGCATTTAACTTTCTATGTCTGGTTTATTCCATTAAACATACTGTCTTCCAGGTTTGTCCATATTTCATGTTTTCACAAATGGCAGGATTTCCTCTTTTACAATTAAATATTATTCCTGCGTGTGTCTGTGTCTGTGTGTCCGTGCGTTCATGTATGTTCACCAACACATTTATCCATTCATCTGTCAACAGACAAAGGTTATTTCCATATTTTGGCCATTATGAATAATGTTGAAATGAACATGGAAGTTCAGATACCTCTCTGAGATCCTGATTTCGTGTCTTTTGGATATACACCCAGAAGTGGAGTGCAGGATCATACGATAGTGCTCTTGTAAAGTTTTTGATGAACCTCCATACCGTTTTCTATAGTGACTGTACCAATTCGTATTCCTACGAAAAGCATACAGGGATTTCATTTTCTCCATACCTGCAACAACTCTTGGTATCTCTTGTCTTTTTGAAAATAGCTATCTTAATAGGTGTGAGATGAAATCTCATTGTGGTTGAGATTGGCATTTCTCTGAGGTGATTAATGATACTGGGCACATAATCATATACCTGTTGGTCATTTGTATGTCTTCTTTGGAGGAACATCGACTCAAATCTTGTGCCTATTTTCTAATCAGGTTGTTTTTTTGCTGCTAAGTTGTATGAGTCTCTTTTATATTTTGAATATTAACTGTTTATTAGATATGTGGTTTATAAACCCAGCTGGATCTGGGTCATGGCTTTAGGGCCCACAGCCGGGACTGAGTTTAGCAGGCTTGTCAACTTGAGGCAGGAAGTAGTGTGGTGTGTTCCCTGGTGGATGGTATTGGTGGCAAGACCGAGACCAACTGGGGCTTGCAGCCCAGAGCAAGGGGATCAGGATTGTTTTTAGATCTGCAGCCACCAGTCCATGGGCCTGCTTTCGCAAATGGCGCTCCTTGTTACTGGGTTCCACCAGGGCTTCACAGCCTGCTACAGGCATTCTTGCCCATGGAGGGCTGCCAAGTTGTTGTCGCTGTGGGGGGATAGGAGTAAGATTCAGTTCTGCCACCTTGCTAGTGTCCTGTATAAATCTGAGTAAGCTAACGTACATCTGCAAAAAATCTTGTTGGGATTTCGGTGGGAATTGCTTTAAACTATGTATCCATTTGGGCAGAATTGGCATCTTTATAATATTGAGTCTTTCAATCCACTAAACATGTCTTTCCATTCATAAGATCCTTGATTTATTTTATCAGTGTTTTATAGCTTTAACACACAAGTAATGTATATGTTTTATTAGATTTACTTCAAAGTGGTTTTTGGGTTTTTTTGTAATTATGCATGATTTATATTTTTAATTTTGGTATCCACATGTTCACTGATAGTATACAGAAATACATTTGGTTTTTGTACATGCTGTGATCTTGCTGAAATCACGTAATTCCAAGAGCTATTTTGTAGATGTCTTGTAATTTTCTACACAAGCAGTCATGTCATTTGCAAGTAGGGACTGGTTTATTTCTTCCTTTTTGATCTGTATGTCATTTTCCCTTCTTTTCTTGCCTTATTGCACTGACAAGAACTTCCAGTCCTATGCTGAAAAAAGTAGTGAGAGCAGATGAGACCACTGTCCCGATACTAACTGCAGAGGCAGCCCAGCTGATCTCTCTGGAGGCTGCGCTGCAGGGATGCTACATGGGAGGCACACGACAGAGCACCATGGAAGGGTGTGGACCCCACTGGCACAAGCCGCACACCAGCCTGCCCTACAGGACTGCCTCGTGTCTAGGGCACCCTCCCATGGGCCCCTTCTCCAGCATGGTCTCCTATTCCACTGGAGCACCAGTCTGCAGGCTGGCCCAGAATTCACACTCCTGGCAGGGAGTTGCCAGGTCGTGATAGTAGTCATGGCCATGTAGACACACTGCATCCATTATCACCCACCACACTGTCTTCTCTTTGGGGCCCTGCTAGTATCCCAAGGTAGGGAGGTGGAGGTGGAAGACCTGAGTGAGGGCAGGGGTAGAGGCATCTGCGTGGGTTGTGGAACCTAAAGGTGCTGCCAGCCACCTGAGGGCCCTGCCTGCGAGTGCGTGGATTCCAAGGGCAGAAGAGGGGCAGCAGCCTTGACCTGGCATGGCCAAAGTTGGCGGGGTATAAATATTGCCCCTTCTCGATCTTTGCTCACTCTGATGGACCTCATGTGCCTTTGGGAGTTTCCTTCCTTCCATTTGGAAAATGTCAATAGTTGTTACTCTTTTCTTACCATTTCCCCTCATTCTTTGTGGAAAATGCTGTTACAAGTATTCAGTGCCCTGTATGTAAAGAAAGAACATAGGCCTCTTTTGAACAACAGCAGAAAAAAAGAAAACATGTTGAAAACCGATATCCTTGCATTGTTTCCCTTAGTTGGAAAGCATTCATTCCTTTACTATTAATTATAATGCTAGCTGTACGATTTTTGTAGATGCTCTTTATTAACTTGAGGTTGTTCTCTATTTCTGCCTTTCTGACTTTTTTATTATACGAGTATTGACTATTATAAACTGGTTTCTCTGCATCTACCAATGAGCTGTATGACTACTTTCATCATTAATGTGGTGAAGGTGATTTTCAAATATCCAACGAGACTTGCATCCCTGGAATTAACCCCTTTATCATGATTACTTATATTCACTTCTTAATTCTATTTGTTAGTATTTTATTAAGGATTTTTTATCTATATTTCTGAGGTATGTTGGTCTGTGGTTTTTCTTTTTTTTCTCCTTTTTTGTTTGTTTTGGGGGGACTGTCTTTGGTTTTCATATTAGGGTAATACTAGCTTTATAAAGTGAATTGGACAGTGTTTCTTCCTTTTCTGTTTTCTGAAAGAGATTGTATAAAATTGGTGTTAATTCCTTTTTGTACATTTGCTAATAAAATTCTCCAGTGGAATTATCTGGACCTGGAGATATCTTTATGGTAGGTAGTTTTTATTTTATTTTATTTTTTTAATTTTTATTTATTTATGATAGTCACACAGAGAGAGAGAGAGAGAGAGAGAGAGAGAGGCAGAGACACAGGCAGAGGGAGAAGCAGGCTCCATGCACCCGGAGCCCGATGTGGGATTCAATCCCAGGTCTCCAGGATTGCGCCCTGGGCCAAAGGCAGGCGCTAAACCGCTGCGCCACCCAGGGATCCCCGGTAGGTAGTTTTTAAATTACATATTTGTTCTCCTTATTATTTACAGATCTGTTTAAATCATCTGTTTCATATTGGTTGAGTTATGGTAGTTTGTGCTTTTGAGGAATTGGTCCATTTTACCCAAAGCTGTGGAAAATTGCATATGTAGAGTAGTTTATAGTAATCTCATACTAGCTTTGTGTTGTCTTCATAGTCTGTAGTGATATCCTGTTTCATTTTTGATTTTGGTGATCCTGTCTTCTCTGTTCTTTCCTTTGTCAGTTAATTTTATTGTCATATCAAAAAGCCAACTTTTTGTTGCATTGTTTTTTCTTTGTTATTGTTCGGTTTTCAGTTTCATCTATTTCTGTTCTTTATTATTTATTCCCTTCTATTTATTCTGGGTTTATTTTGCTTTCCTCCCCCTCATATTAAACTGCAAGTTTGCACCTCTGAATGCCCTTTACTCATTTTGACCATCCTCCCACCCAATATTCAGCCCCTCTGGCTACCACCAGTTTGTTTTCTATATTTATGAGACTATTTCTGTTTTTGTTTGTTTCCATTGTTTTTTAATGCCATATGTAAGTGAGATCATATGATATTTGCGTCTCTGTCTGATTTATCTCACTTAACAAAGTGCTCTCTGAGTCTATTCATGTCACAAATGGCAAGATCTCATTCTTTTTCTAGCTGGGTAATATTCCATTGTATATAAGGACCCCATCTTGTCTATCCATGCATTCACCTATGGCTGTTACTTAATGGGCTGACTTGGTTTTATCTGTACTTAGCAGGTGAATCAGTGCCCTTTGTATTTATTTATTCCTGACTGAGCAAGAACTTGAGGGAAATCCAACATTGCAAATCCACTGTTATATTTCGTTCTCTTTTCCAGGCAGAAGCTTATTATCCCAAATGGAAGTTGCCCTGTTATTCTGAATACTTATTTTTGTCAGAAAGTTGTTGCCAAAGAAAATTCAAAACTAATACCTGAAGTGTACTGTTGGAACACACCTCTTCCAAGAAGAAGTATCACTTTGGCTCAGATATTTAAATTTAGGAATCTAACAAATAAATCACCTGAAAGCCAGGTAAATTTTCATTTGTTTTAGACGTTTTATGCTTTGCAATAATAATGAATTTGAAAGGTATAAGCAAAGATATTTACCTTTGGTTCCTCTTCAAATATTCAATAAATATATATGCTAGAACATCTTCTTCTTATTGTTATGTCTGAAGAAAATATGGCGCAATTCAGTATTTAGTTGTAGTCTTTTCACAGTATTTCATCTATCTAATGGTGTATTTTTTAAAGATTTTATTTATTTATTTGACAGAGAAATATAGCATAAACAAGGAGAGTGGTAGATGGAGAAAGAGAAGCAGGCCCCCACTGAGTAGGGAGCTCAACGCGGAACTCGATCCCAGGACCTTGGGATCAATGACCTGAGCTGAAGGCACGTGCTTAACTAACTGAGCCCCCTAAGTGCTCCTATTGTGTATTGTTAGTCTTTAGCCTAATCTATCAAAATATATGAGTTTTCATGTTTTTATTCTCCTCTTGTAATAATTAATTCTCTAGGAATTTTAAGTCTTTTACCTATTAAATTACAAAAAGGCATATTTTTCTTTTTCACAATATCTGTATCCCTTGGGATAAAAAGAACTGCATACACTTGAAATTATACACTGTAGATTGTCTGTGGAGTTTTATTGGCCCCGAGTCATGATCATTTGTCAAGATGAATGTAGGGAACTACTAAATTTCACTTGTAGCAGACATGAAGGGCCCTCCAGGGACCACTGCAGGCTCTGAGTGTCTGTTGCTCCTCAGGGTGCACCATCTCAGGTTCACTCAGTTCCCTGAATCAGCACTGAAGAGAATACTGAGGCTGACAGTGTGAGGGGATGTAAGAAAAAGAAAAGCAGACAAAGTTTCATCTTGTTTGTTAATGTATCAACAAGCATACTCTCCCTTTGATTATCAAGAGAAGTATCTGAAGGGGGTAGGACTCTTAATTTAATTTATGGCACAAAGTGCATTACTGCTTTAACATTTAGTTGTAAATAGCTATTGATATTAAATTATTGAGATAGCATTTTTGCTTGCAACAGTGGCAGTGAACCTGCAGTATAACATCATGGTTATGAGTATAGGCTTTGGAACTAGGTATCCTGGTTCAAATCCTGCCTCGGCCACTTCTTGCCAAGTATCAATGGGCAAGATACATAATTTCTCTGTTTCAATATTTTTATCTTTAAAATGGTCATAATGACATAATCTACCTGCTTGGGTGGTTGTGAGGTTAAATATGTTTGTTATGTAAGTATAATGTATAAAGAAAAGTGCCTAGAACATGCTCCAGAAGTGTTGTCTTATGGTATTTAATATTTAATATTTTTGGCAGGCACCATGAGCCTGTAAAGTAGTGTAGTAGACTGCACACAACAAGCACTTAATAATGTTTAAATTTTGAAACCTAGTCATTCTTTTGTTTTTTAGTTTTTCCTGTTGGGAATATTTACCTCATAAAAAAATTTTCTAAATTACCATGAAGTATTATAGTAGCAGGACTTTCCACATGTTTTCAAAGATCCAAGGTGATATGTGTTTCCAATGATTGGAAACGCTCTTTGCTGTTTCCTTGTTATCTTGCTCACCTTCCCCTCCTCAACAGCATTAGTTACCTGGCAGACGTAGAGGCCCATGCAGTATCTTTTATCTTCGTTATCCCTTTGGTGTTCTGAAGTAACATCAGAAGATGGCCTGAGAGCCCGGGTGGCTCAGGGGTTTAGCGCTGCCTTCAGCCCAGGGCCTGATCCTGGAGACCCGGAATCGAGTCCCACGTCGGGCGCCCTGCATGGAGCCTGCTTCTCCCTCTGCCTATGTCTCTGCCTCTCTCTCTCTCTCTCTCTCTCTTTCTCTCTCTCTCTCTCTCTCTCTCTCTCTCTCTTTCTCATGAATAAATAAATAAAATCTTAAAAAAGAAGAAGAAGATGGCCTGAATATGTCATTATTTGGTATGTACCATGCTGTTATGAGTTAAACTGAAATAGTTCCCTTTGCATGTCTTGGCCAGGTTATGTGTAGTGGTCTCCCTGCCATGAGGACAGACTGCACCCCTGGACACGAGGAGGCCAAACAGTGCTTCCCAGCCCAAGCTCCCCTGAGGGATTCTCTTCTGGATGCAGTGGAAAGCCAGGGAGCTGCCACATGGTCAGGAGTCAGGGTCCGAGTGGTGGTACAGAGAGTTTACTCTCTTCCCTGTACCTATCAGCAGGGAAGTAGCTCAGCTGCTCCACCTGGCTCAGGCCCACCCAGAGTTCGGTGAGTAATGACACAGGCATGGGTGCTAGAGTCACCTAGAGAGGTGAGAGCCTCTTGCTGGATAAAATAGAGACTCTTGGCTGCATCCCCCATATACATGAGTTTTTGGGTTTTTTTGTTTTTTTCTTGCATCAAATTTTGGGACACATGGTATGACAAAGGAGTCTCTCTTTACTTAATATAAAAAGTCCTACTAAAATTTTAATTTGTTCATTTACTTTTACCTTTAATGGTTCATGTTATTGAAAGCAATATAAACAAGAAACACTGGTATTATTCTAGAAAAGCCAGGACATGTGGTTAGCATACCTAAAAAGACCACTGTAATGTCTGTCAAGGTTTATACATCTTAAAACCCTAAGTAAATCTGTGTCTTTCAGAGAGTGTTATTCTAACCTATATCAGCAGCACTACCTAATAGAACTTTCTGCAGTGATATAAATGTTGTGTATTTGTACAGTCCAGTGAGGTAGTCACTGACCATGTGGTTACTGAGCACTCAAAATATGGCTAGTGGGACTAAGGAACTAAATTTCAAGTTTTATTTAATTTTAATTAACTTTATTTTATGTAGCCCCTTGTAGCTAGTGGCTACCTTTGTGGACAGTGCAGCTGCATGAGCCAAACTCGTGACTCAAAGTACTTTGCTCATACTAACAGTGGGAACGACATCTTCTTTCTACTTGTAGTTAGGCCCTTCCTGTGTTTTTTTCAAATAGCTGTAGTCATGTCATTGACTGAAGAGTTTATTTATGTCAGAGCCTTGATGTAACCTTTTGAGGTTGTATTTCTTTCTATGTGAAATTGCCCTCAACGCAGTGAGATGGATTTATAATATAATAGAAATTAAAAGTATAGATGCCAATTGATCAATCATTTTTTAATCTACTTTTAAAAGAAGACACATATTGAAGAAACAGTAATTACAACAATATCCTATCCTTATAGTGCCTTCAGATACCATTCAGAAGGAGTGACAGGAAACATTTCTGTGTTAATTATGAACCCACTTCAGGTGCTGACACTTTATTTGAAAGTCCTATGAGTTTCAAAATGTCTCCTTTAGATGTAGAATTAGAGAATGTTTTTTGTGGATGTATAGGAAAAATTTTTATTTTATTTTATTTTGTTTGGAATATGTGAATATCTTAAATGAATATATCAGTTTTAGGATTTCTAACTTGTAGATGTAGACCAGTCTTGTAGTCTTTAACTTAAACCTGTGGTAAGCCTAAATAGAGTTATCTGAGCCAGTTAGAGATCAGACATAGGTTTTGGTTTGTTTGTTTGTTTTTCATGGAATGTATCCAGCATTAGGCTTTGGAGGAGGAAGTACTGAGTAGCCGAAGCAATGATAATCTTGGTAAAGCTTCTCCAGCCCAGCACACAGGCTACACATTCAGAGGAGATTAGGGACAGCAGGGACTGAGTCACGATGATGAGAAGGCGAGGCGAAACTGGCAGGAGGGTTTCTCCCTTATGAGTAATCACAGCAGCGGATACCTCGAGTCCTGTCCCTCCAGCTCCTTTGGTGGTGCTTGTTTTACTTGTTGAGCAAAGGGAAGAATTGGAAGCTAACCCAATGCCTGGCATTATGAATGTGTTGGATTTGTACCTTAGAACACACACTGGGACATATCAAATGAGGTGGAGTTAAATTGTGGTTTGAAAAAAGGCCAGGCATAAACCTCAAAAACAAGAAAATAACCTTTAGTTATTCAGATGTAATTAATATCATTATATGTGCTGTGTTTCCTGTAGCACACATGAGATTATACAATGCTGAGGCTAGAGGATATTAGTCCCATTTCACAGATGAGGAAATTGAGTCTCAGAGAGGTTTTTACTTGCTGACAGTTAGTTATACAGGTGGACAAAAAGAATAGCATCATGAGATAGAGAATCCCAAATGTCAGGACAATAGAGTGTGGAGCTGAAAGAAAGGGGATAAAATTGAGTTAGGACCAGGCTCTGATTAAGAATGACTGGGGGGGTCAGGTCATCCTGGGCAGCAGGAGTGGTGAAAGTGCCCCACCATGGGGCGGAATTGATTGGATTATATAGGAAAATGAAACTTTGGATGGGAAATCATAGCATTTGAGCTTGGGTTTGAGAACAAGGCTTCTGAGATGTCATTTGGGTACAGAAAGGTATTATTGTAAACTGACTCTTAATATTTTCTAGATTCATAATGCTATAATAATGATCAAACTCCAGTTTACAAACGGAATTAACATAGAAGTAAAATTACATGTAACCCTGTGCTAATTCTTTGCTAATGAATGTACCATTACAAGCATTAAAATATCTGCTTTGGAGGATCATTTAGCAATATGTCTTCTAATGTAGATTTTTTTTATTTATTTTTTATTTTTTTTATTCTAATATAGATTTTATTTATACATTGAGATTATATATGTAATGTGTTTAGCATCATGCTTCTCATACAATAAGGGCTCAATAGAAGGTGGCTCACTAGGTCTTTAAAAATAAGTGCAAATACTTAAAAATTGTAAAATACTGATAAATAACATTGTTACAATAATAAAAACCTAAAATAAAGAAAGAAGATCATATTACAAATCATTATTCATGTTGTATTCAGTTGAGTCCATTGCCTGGCAGCAGCGGAAGCTTGACTGAAGGTGGTGTTTGCCCCTGTCCTTTTGCATTTTCCATTTACTGCACCTCCCTCATCAACAAAGAGTTGCTACTCATCTACTTTAGAAAACATTTATGTAAATTTATATATATGAAATGTGACCATTGCCTTCTAAATGTTGGAAGCCTACAAGTTGCTCTGTAATAAACACTGCAGGAAAGTGACCTAGTGCTGGGTCCAGTACTGGATGGTGCTGGTAATTATGGCTGGTATATTTTTGTCTTTGTCTAGAACATCTAAAGACATCCCAGATTCCTGATGGTGAAAATGATCCAATATTAAAGCAGAATGAGGAACATGCACTAACAGTTGATATGATGATTAGTGTCTTTTATGATGATTAGCTCTTGTGCATGTTTGGACGGTAGAAAAAGATGTGTATCAAGTTTGCAGGACTCCTTTTGATGAGAGGGCTGTGGACTGTGGCACATGGATCCCCAGCTGCGTGCTCAGCAGCCAGGTCTCCCAGGGTGTGTGCAGCTCTTCTCTCTGCTTGTGAACATTTGCTTTTCTTCCTATTAAATGATTAGATGATATATTGGACTCACATCTCTGTGCACAGAGATGGCGTAACTGGCGTTCTTTCTCTAGAACAGAGATGCATGTGTGTCAGTGATGAAGGAGGCCAAAGGGGAGTCTATGTCTCCTCTGCAGTACACAGGACCCTTTCACCTGTTCCGTGGAGTGATTCTGTTGATTGACCTACTTAGCATCACACTCTCATAAGGCTTATTGTTATTCATATTTTAGTTCTAAATGTTGTCTAAGTGTTTACTTTTTCATGTTGTAGAAAAGTTGAAATTATTCCTTTTCAGTGATTTGAGTATTTTTATTGCAATGAAAAAGATATGAGAGCAGGGCATCATTTTTTTAATGTATTATTATAAATGATATGAATGATATCTCATTCTTTAGGTTTTCCTTACCTGTGATTTCTCAGTAAATTTAAATTCTCTTTTAACCATTAGCTCTGTGCTCATAAGTCTTAAATAAACCCTTTAGTCTCAGCTACTCAGCTCTTAACCCTTTGCTTACTTCCTAAGACAGTTCTGGGTGGTCTGTATGATATCCAAGGTCATTTTGCCATATTTTCTTTGCAGTCCTGTACTTACAGAGTTTTACAACTAATATAGTAATGTAATATTAGAACACTTTTGTGACCTCAAAAAGAAACCTCAGACCCATTGACTATTTACTCCTCCTTCCCCTAGGTTGTGGCAACCACTACTCTATTTTCTGTCTCTGTGGATTTGCACATATATAAATGGAACTATACAATGTACCATCTTATGACTGGCTTCTTTCACTTGGCATGAGATTTTCAAGGCTCACCTGTGTTGTAACATGTTGATCCATGTTCTGACATGCATCAGTATTTCATTCCATTGTTTGAGTATGACATATTCAGTTTGTCAGGTGATGAACATCTAGGTTGTTTCTACTTTTGACTAATATGAATAGTGCTGCCATGAACACCTGTGTACAAGTTCTTTCTATGAATGTATGTTTTCATTTCTCTTGAGTATGTATTTAGGAGTAGAGTTGCTGAGTCATATGCTAACTCTGTGTTTAACTCTTTGAAGAGTTAAACTGTTTTCCAAAGAAGCTACCATTTTACGTTCCCACCAGCGGCGAATGAGGGCTCCAGTCTCTCCACATCCTCACCAACACTTGTGTTAGTGAGGATAGCCATCCAAGTGAATGTGAAGTGCTGTATCCTTGTTGCTTTGCTTTGCAGTTCCCGAGGGATTAACAGTGTTGTGCATGTTTTCATGTGCTCTTTGACCATTTGTATACGTACATCTTTAGAGAAATGCCTCTTCAGATCCTTTGTTTTCTTAAATGGGTTATTTGTCCCCTTTTTTGTTGAATTGTAAGAGTTCTTTATTCTGGTAACAAATCTCTTACCATATACATGATTTGAAAATATATTCTCCCATTCTGTGGAATATTTTTTTTTCCACTTATTTGATATAGTGTCCTTTGAAGCATTAAAGTTTATCATCTTAATGATCTCCAATCTTTTTTTTTTTCCTTTTTGTGCTTTTGGTGTTTGGGTGTCACATCTAAGAAACAGCTGCCTAATTCAAGATTATGAAAGTTTACTCCTGCATTTTATTCTAAGAGTTGTGCAGTTTATAGTCTTATATTTAGATCCATGATCCATTTGATTAATTTGTGTGTGTGGTGTGAGGCAGGGGGGTTCATCTTTTTACATGTGTGTATCCAGTTGTCCAACACCATTTGCCAAAAAGACTGTTCTTTCTCTTTGAAACTTTCTTGATACCTTTCTCAAAAGTCAGTTGAGCACAGATATTAGTGTTTATTTCTGGACTCA